GCCTACAACACCCGCGCCGCCGAGGTCGCCTCCTTCCTGCTCACTTCCAACTGGCCCGGCTACGCCATCGCCCACACCGTCGCCGCCCTGGAATGCCTGTTCGTACACACATATTGGCGCGCCGGCGAGAGCTGGACGTACCTCGGTCCCGGGGTCGGCAGGACAGCGGCGGCTGTGGGGCTGGTGCTGGTGGTCGTGGGCCAGGCGGTGCGCAGCATGGCCATGATTCACGCCGGGCGGAGCTTCAACCACCTGGTGCAGAACCGCCGGCGGGAGGACCACGTGCTGGTGACCAGCGGGGTGTACGGGGTGTTCCGGCATCCGAGCTATTTCGGCTTCTTCTGGTGGGCCCTCGGCACCCAGATGGTCATGGGGAACGTGGTCAGCTTTGTCGGGTACGCCGTGGTGCTGTACCGCTTCTTTAGCAGCCGTATCTCGCATGAGGAGTTCTATCTAAGGAGGTTTTTCGGGCAAGAGTACGAGGATTATAAGAAGAGGGTCCCGACCAGGATTCCGTTCGTGCCGTAGCGGCGTTGTACGAGTAGCGATAGCAGGTATCAAGTGGGAAAGGGGTGGAAAATTTGGGGTATAGACGGGATACGAAAAGCGTGAGGGGACAGGCTGGGCTGTAATATTATACATTCTGTCCCTCGGATGTGCTCGTGGGTTGTCATTCGCTGTTCTCAATAGCATGACCAAACCGACTTCCATCTATCTAATAAAAGACGCCGCCCATTCCAGATAAATCGGCCGTAAAAACCATTTTTAATATCCTCCCCATCCCAAACGCTACCGTTAAATCGCCCACACCAGCCAGACGGACAGACAGATAGACAGAAAACCATTCCCGACGCAATGCATCAAACAGCGTGACACTTCCCCGGCTGTGCCAGCGGCATCTTGCTGACGCTTCCGTACTTGGCCTGCCACGCGTAAAAGTACATGAGCGCCGCGAACGGCTGCCCAAAGATGGTGAAGGACACCCAGAAGATGGTGTTGCCCACCAGCCGCCCGTGCGCCGTCTTGCGCCGCCCGAGCCGCGCCGTCAGCGCGATGAGCGGCAGTTGCAGGAACATGCCTAGGAAGGCGACCCCTGTGAAGGTGTAAGTGTGAGTATGGGGGGATATATAGAAAAGAGGAAACAAAAAGGGGGGGTTACCGATGATGTTGTGCGTGGGCACGCCGACTAACAGCTCATGTAGCACCGCTGACAGCAGGAAGACGGCTATGCTGGCTGACAGGTGGCTCCACCCGCGCGAGCGCATGGGGGAGTAGACATGACGCCGGAAGAACTGGTACACGGGTTTGTTCCACGTGCGCCAGTACGCCCCGAGACTCTCGCTGTTCCCTGTTTGTTTCGCCACATGTTAGATATCGGGTTGAACAATATGCGGTTGTTACCGAGAGAAAGGTGGGGAGGAAGGGAGAGACATACACCAGGCCTCGTAGAACTCGCGGTCCCCAAAGCGCATCACCTCGGCCAAGGCGTTCAAAAAGCTCTGGAACAGCGCAAAGAAGCCGGCCAGCCAGATGACCAGCGAGATGGTGGACAGTTTCAGCAGCCGCTCGACGATGGACATGTAGTCGAGGGTGGCGATCTTGTCGAGCGAGTTACGCAGCACGGGGGTGGCGTACTGGGCGCTGGCGAACCAGATGAAGGCGCTCAGGCAGACGACCTCGCCGAGGCGCTTGGCCACGAAGACCCAGCGGATGCGGTCGGTGCGCGGGTACGCCGGCTGGTACACCAGCGTCGGCGCCCACCAGAAGTAGGTGAGGTTCGAGAAGGTCACGTTGGCCGGGTAGGGGCACTGCGCGTAAATCTCGGGCAGCGCGGCCAGCTCGCCCCGCACCGGGTGTAGGTAGGCGTGCCGCAGGTCGCGGTTGGTGAGTGCGTATGACGCCGTCTTGAGCCAGACGATGATGGCGTGCATCTCGGCGAGCGTGCCGATCAGCGGGTGGTGGATGTGGTAGTAGACGACGTACGACGTCAGGGCCAGGGCGCCGGTGATGTTGAGGGCGTGAAGTATGCGGAAGATCCGCCAGCTGTGTATGAACTGCCTAGACTCGTCCTCGGTCGGGCTGGTGCTGCCATCCCGTTTCTTGGACTTGGCCCGGGAGTTACGGGCATCGGCAGCGGCAACTAGCTCGATGAAATAGGCGAGCATGAGGTGACATGGGATTAGGATGTAGAGTAGAAGCCCTAGGCGCACATCGTTGGGGCGGAAGTCGTGACATTTGATACATATCAGAACACCGTACTATAACAGATGGTCAGCTACTACCTTTTCATCTCACCATCTTATCTGGCCAGGAATGAGGGGAGGGATAGTGTATGCCAACCTTTTGGATGTTCTCGATGACCAGCCGGAGATTGGCAGCAACTAATGGTGGATTGATGTCAATGGAGATGGCTCAACCTCATCACGGTAACAGGTTCGGTGACATACCTAGCACAATAACCATGAGATTCCTGAAGCCGATGAAACTTGGCGTCTCGGTCGTATCGTGGCTAAGGCAGGACGGCTTGGACTCGGAGTGGACGGCCTCGACATGGCGGTACTTGTTGCGGAACGCTTTGCGTAGTTCAAGGACGTCCACAGAGTCATCCGCGGTGCCATTTGCGATGCCATTTGCGATGCCATTTGCGATGCCATTCGCGATGCCATTCGCATCCCCATTTACAGAGCCGTTTGCGAGTATATCGGACGGTGAGGTGGCCGCGTGGGGTTCGTGGTTGGCACTAACAGGGGCCCTGTTGGTGGTGACGCCATTGACTTGGGAATCCTCAAAGCTCGTTGATGTTGCCATTGATGTGTTCGTTTCCGTCTTCATTTTGGCTGGACAGCACTGTTGAAGATCATGGGAAATACGGTGACAATGGGCGAGTCTCCTCTCGTCCGATACCTACATTTACACGAAAAGGAACAGACCCGAGCGGTGGCGATAGGTAGATAAAAAGCTCCAAGGGCCTGGTGAGAAAGATACGCCCGGATGCAACACACTGAGCCGCGGCGCCGAGAGGCACCCCACCCGGACCGACCGAGATTGAATAGATATATTAAGTAACTATTCGTCACCATATCTGCAGAATGACTGCTCTCATCCCTATCTAGGTTTCATACATGAGAGCAGCCTGCAAGTGCAGGGTGTGTACAAGATCGGACAGACCATTCTTTCTGCAAACACTTTCGATGTTTCCGGGCACACCTCTCTTGAGAGCGAGGAATGCAGATCCCCGTTGGAGGTTCCTGGACGCCACGGGTAGGGAGACCAATGGAGGGCTTGGCGGAGCACATGTCGAATTCGGTGACGAACAAGGATGGCAAATTCAAGAGACCCATGCATATTTGTCATGTATGTCGACCTACCTAGGATCTCGAATATAGCTCGCATGTAGGAAAAACAAACCAATGAAAAATGTTAAATCTAAAAGAAGAAATTGTCATAAAAATGGCCGGAGTAGTAGGGAAGGGAAGAGAAAAAGGAGAGTTAAGTGGAAGGGGAATAATACCTGCCCCTGGTCCATAGGTAGGTAACAGGCACACATGTAACATGGAACCTTACCGAAAAAACGGTTCAGAGCACAGCCGGGCCGTCACGAAGGTGTTCGGTGGTGCGTACCGATGTACATGCTTATGCACGGACCACATCCCTTTGGAGATGCCCCACTCGAATTTTTCACTGTCCCGTCCCTCCATCGGCCGCTCTCTGCCATTCGCAGCCGCTCCTTTCATCAACAAAGCACCTTCCCTCGGCATTGTGACTAGCCCCGGCTCAGCGCATCTACGTCCCTCATCAATCAAATTCTTTTCGCGAATCCATCACAATGTCTGACTACGGCGGCGGCGACGACGACCGCGAGCCTCTGTAAGCCCATCAGACTGCCGTACTCGCGTGCTGAACCCCTCTAACCTCTCTCTCTTTCCCCAGCAACGACGAGCCCGCCTTCGACGAGGACCCCGATGAGTACTACGAGCCAGAGCCGGAACCGGCTGAGGAGGACGATGCTGCGCGCGCCCCGGATCAGGAGGGCGAGAACCAGGATACCGATCACGTCGTCGCGTCGGGCGACCCCAACGCGGCCGCTAATCACGGCAAGGGGAACGACAAGTCGCACAAGGACAAGAAGATCCCCAACGACCAGCGTACAACCACGCCGTATATGACGAAGTACGAGAAGGCGCGCATCCTGGGGACCAGGGCATTGCAAATCAGGTGGGTTCTACATCGCGTGGAGTAGGGTGACGGGGACTAGTGTGCTGATTAAAATCACAGCATGAACGCGCCCGTACTCGTCGACCTTGAGGGCGAGACGGATCCACTGCAGATTGCCGTCAAGGAGCTGAGTGAGAAAAAGATTCCCCTTATCGTGCGTCGGTACCTGCCGGATGGATAGTAAGTGCAACTCTTGGCCGCTGTCTCTTGAGCCAGCCATTAACCAATTGATCGTAGCTACGAGGATTGGACTTGTGAGGAGCTTCTCCAATGATCTGGGTTTTATGTTAGGAAAGACAGAAAAACATAATTGCATTAGCGCGGGCGTTGGGGTATATTACTTTCTTGTTTTACGGAACGGGGACAATTCCACCATGGAAGGCGACTATACCACTCTATTCAAGCCGCCTTTTCCAGCCGGCATTGGGATCAAACTCAAACTCGAGTGTGCATAGGCGAGCACAGTGAACTCTGACCGGCTGGGAAGTGGTGATAGGATAGATGGAATACCGTATGGCCGCCTATGACCCGAATCCTGAATACCGACGAGTCCTATCCTGTAGTACTAGAGTATGGAAGTATACAGTAATACCACGGCCAGCTCCAGACCACTGCCGCATCTGCTTAACCACTCAAAATGCTGCCGGCTCATGCAGGTCAAGGGGCAGGCAATCCACCGCCAAGCGGAGCTCACTGCATACTAAGTACAACCTACCCACTCACACCCACTTGCGAGCCCACACCAAAACCTCAAATTCCACCACAACTCAGCATCCAACAACACAGGGTGACTAGTCTAGTGGTCAGGACGTTTCGTTGTGGCTTGTTCCACATGCAAAACCGAAGAAACCCCGGTTCGATTCCGGGGTCGCCCATCCTTTTGTTTACTCAATCCCCCCAACTTTTCTTTTTGTGAATATTCTCTATCTTGGTTTTGTGACTTGTTCTTCACTCGCCCGATCTTTGCTATAACCCCTCCTCGTAGATCATTTCCCTCTTTCCCTCCTTGCCTCACTGGGCTGCCTCCCTTTCCCCATCTTTGCTTGCGCGTAAACCTGGTGATAGTAAATACTTTAGGTTATTTTCATTATACCCGTGTATCCCAAGTGCCACTTCCCGAAACCCGAAATAGGCTACTATGTTCCGTTCTGTATATCTCGTCCGCTACGCCACTTGCCTAGATAGTAGACATGTCCTGTCCCATATTGGATAGTGCCTAATAAAACCATTTCCCAACCAGGCGACCACATTGGATTCGGCGCTGCATTTTATGCAAGACGTAATCACGAAAAGTGCTTCATTGCCGTACAAACTACCTCCCGGCGACGGAACCGACGCTCATCGACAAGCTGGGGCAATTCCTGCTTCATCATCTCCCCAATACTGGCAATAACTTTATCCAAGCCTTCCTTCGATGTGCTGGTGACATGGAGGTACAGCGGGGGGTTCTGCAACCGCGTGTTATGAAGAAGCGAGGGGACAACATACCGCCGGGGTAGCCATGTTCTTGTCGGGGTAATACCTCTAGTTTCCACGGGCCGTGACATCTTCTGAAGAAAAGCCTTGTATGTACATACAAGACCTTCCTCCTCCACGAGCAATGGGATTCCTCTTCTCATCCACCTTTTCTCACGCTCGCACAAACACTTCGCCAAACGAACCACCCCTCCTTTCGCCCCCCTTTACACTGGAACACTCCGTCTCTTACTTTTCCTAGGACCCTCCGTCCCCTTCTTTTCCTAGAGCCCTCCGTCCCCTTTTGTTCCTAGAACATTCCGTCTCCCCTCTTTCCCTAGGACCCTCCGCCTCCCCGGCCCCCCCGTCGCCCTCTTGGCTCAACACCGCATTTCCTATCACTCCCCGTGGCCTACTTCCTCGCCCAGCCCGTCCACCGCCCACAAAAAGAAGAAGCAGTTCAACCTGCCCAGGAGTGCGTCCTCCGTCCATGGCTCGCCTGCCTCCCCAACCCCCACATCGTCCTCTCCGCCCACCTAATTCACTCCCAGAGATCCAACCCCTAAGATCCCGTCCCACACAAACAAACGCCCGCCCACGCCCCTCCCCCACCGAGGGGGTATCAGCCCTCCCCGCGACCGTCTCTGCCCCGCCGCAGCCCCCCCCCCCCTCCCTCGTCGCCACATCGAGGCAACCCGGCGCGCCTCGACGACAAGCCCAGGTACCAGCCAGGGCACACCATCCTCTACGCACGAGGGGGGCGTCCACCCCGTGGACTGCTTCGTACCCTCCCCACGAAGCGCTTCACCTACCGCCTTGGCGTGCCCCCGGCGTAGGCATCGTGACCGTGAATGCCCACCCCCTTCTCCCTGGATCCTTGCGCCTCGCGCTCCACAGTGTTCCGGAGGCGTCGCTTTTTTTTCTCGAGGCTCGTATAGATGGTGCGGCTAGCCGGTGGTGAGCGGGGGTTCGCATTTAATGGGCACACTGCTCATGCACAGCGACCTCATATCCTGCCACGCCTTGCGGCAGTTAGCTCTCGAGGTTAAAACCGGCAAGAACATGAACTTTCGGCATGATGGGGTGCCAGGACCTGGTAGGTTGCCTGGACTGAGGGCGGGAGGGGGGGTTATTTTGCTGCGTTGAATTAGGAATCGCGGAGGGAGGTGTTGTAGTTGTGTCGAGGTGTAGGCATGCTTACAGTTGGTTTTGTTTCCTTCTTTGGGTGGGGGTCGTTCCTTGGGCTGCTGGTTGAGCAATGGTTGAGCTACGAGCAGATTTTCAACGACGACGCGGGACTGGGCGGGGAAAGCATCGGGCTGAGGGATGGGATGGTGTACTCGTTCTCGCCGGACTATATGCGGTAGATGTCAAACGGCATGGGCAAGATGAGGTGACTTTAGGAGGAATAATGTCTGACAAAATCGAATGCAGCGGCTCTTGGTACTGCTTCTTAGAGAACAGCGGTGTCGCACATACACCAGGAACGAGACGACAATATGTACAGATACTAAGTATTAATATTTACGGGTATGTTAAGGAGCGTAAGAAGCTATGTTTTCATCAATCCATTTTCATCAAACCCCCCTCCCATCATTCCACTCATAACCCCTCAGTCACCTCTACCACCCTCCATACTTAGGGCACTTCCCGGCGCCAGTGACGTGCTTGTTGGTGAGCAGGCAGTCGCTGTACTGAGCCTTGCACTTGAAGATGGCGCCCGAGTAGTCGTCGTGCCAGCCAAAGGTGCGCTTCTCGACGCTACTGTGGAAGTCAAAGTAGTTGGCGTCCCGCGGCTTGTTGGGCTTGCGCCTGCAGCCCTCAGCGTAGACGTCGACGCAGTCCTCGTACTGCTCCTTGCAGGCCTCGGCGCAGGCGCTCGGGCACTTGGTGCGCTGGTACTTGGGGCACTTGTGGCTGTCGACGTCCGTGTACTGCTTGAACGGGTAGTGGGGCCAGTCCTCGGCTAGGTCGTTGCACGTCACCACCGGCATCTCGATGCCGCCGACCGGCTTGCCCGGGCCGTACCCGAGGAACAGGTTGCTGGGCTGTTTGCAGATGTTGGTCGGGGTCGGGATGGGGCACCGGGTGGTGGTGGAGGACGGGGTCGTCGGCTTGGTCACGGTCGCGGTGGGCGCGCAGGTGGTGGTGACGGTGACGGTCTTGGGGGGGTTGGAGCCGCCCTTGGGAGGCTTCTGGCCCCAGAAGTCACCCTTGCGGCAGCCGCCGCGCGGCTTGCTGTCGCAGTACTTGTTGACGTCGGCGCACCACTCACCAAAGTCGAAGCAGTTGAGGACATCGGGCCAGCCGGCGTGCTTGAAGCACGAGGCGACCTGGATAGCGCAGTGGGACCACGCGGCCTTGCACGACTTGACATCATCCCAGTCGGGCAGCGGCGAAGAGCACCACTTGCCGCACTTGTACTCGCAGGTGGGCGGCACGACGGTGGTGCTCACGCAGGCGGAGCTGCTCGTGGTCGTGCTCGAGGTGATCGGGGTGGTGCTCGTCGAGGTGATGGTGGAGGTCTCGGGAGGGGCGGTCGACGAGGCAGTTGACGAGGCAGTCGACGACGGCGGCAGCGTGCTGCTGCTCGAAACGGGGGGCTCGTAGCCGCAGGGCTCGAGCGACTGCAGCTCATCGGCGACGTACAGGTTCAGGCGCCCACGGCCGCCGCAGGACTGCCCCGAGTTGCCGTTGCAGGGCATGTTGCACTCGCTGGCGGGAGCCGCATAAGTGCCGTTTCCGATCACAACACCGCAGTAGCATTCGCCTGTTTGCACGTCAGATGAGTCCGATGGAGAGGAGAGGTTCAACAACTGCCATCACTTACCGCCAAACTCGGTACCGGCAAAGGGGAAGCCGCCGTCACGGCAGGCCTGCAGACACTTCTCGGTGGTCAGGGTAGCACCGTCGACCTGGTCCTGGCGGTAGGTCAGGGCGCGGCCCATGCTGGAGTCGTCGGTCCAGCAGCCGAGGTTGTCATAGTCCTCAATGGTCACGTCCTCGATGGGCTCGAAGGTGGGGTCCGAGTAGACGGAGAAGATGCCGTTGCCGCCGCACGTCTGGGTCTCGTTGCCCTTGCAGGGAAGGTTGCACTGCGACTCCTCGGCATGGGGCCCGTTGACCGTCTGGCCGCAGTAGCACACGCCATAGTAGACCAGGCCGGCATAGCGGTAGCCGTTGCCCTTGCACTCGGCAACGCACTTCTCGACGGTCATGCCATCGGGAGGGGCGAGGCTGCGGTAGGGAAGGAGCTGCGTGTTGCTCGTCTCTTGGAAGCACCCCGAGTAGACAAAGGGCTGGAAGGGTTCGAGGCAGGGAGGCAAGGGAATCTCGGTGGCCTGGACTTGTCCGACCAGAGCCACTGCCGCCATGGCGGCGGCCATTTTGAAAGCGGCCATGATGGTAGAGGGAGAACGAATGTCCAACTGGAGCCGGGGCTACAGTACAGTGGGAAGGGTTGGGGTGGTAGTGAGTGAATGGACCGACAAGGAGAGATCTCGAGATCTTCGCTTGGTTGTGTCGGAGGAGGACCCTGGAGAAAGGAAAGAAGAGAGTCACAGAGTATGGGAAACTCGATATCTTTATGCACCCATATCTATCACACGCAGTACGAGGGAGCAACCGTACACAGAACATACATAGACTATTGGACTAGGGTTCGGTAAGGCCAGTGGATGCTCCGATGGGGCTGGGCACTCATTTGCGCCGACGCAGAAAACCGTGGACCCAGATTTCAGGCCAGTGTGGTGATGTCGGGACATGGCGGCGTCCACACGGCAGCCGGTTTTGGTAGCCGCCCGAGTGCCAAGGTGCTCAGACGACTGCATGGAGATGGGGCATTGAAGTGCCGCGAAAGCCGTCGAAGGTGGGCGTCGAGGTTCACGATGAGTCGAGTAAAAATGAGCGAGTCTCGACAGGGATGACCCTGGCTTTCCGGCTGGCCCGATCACAACTCAGGCACCGCGTTGTCAAGGCTACTCATGTGGTGAAACCAAGCACACCCCGTTTGGTCTCCAGGGCCCGGATGGCATCGTCTTGGAGTTCAGCTCGGGAGTCGGGGATTACTGTGTACATGGCGAGGTGCGTGCAGTTGCATCGGGTCCAAGTGGAGATGAAATGGAGAAGGAAAAACGATCAAGCTGGGCAAACTCGGCAGGGCCCCGCCCACAAACCAAAACAGGAAGCGAGAACGACCATGGCCGCCCCGTCATTGGTGGATCGCCGTGTACCTGCACTAGCGCAGGCTAGGGCCTGGGGTCTGGCCCTCGCCCAGCCGGATCTGGTGGGCCCTGGCACAGCTTGGACCCTGATTTCCTGCTTTGTCACTTGTCTCCTTTTTCTTTCTCTACCATCTCGACAAGTTGACTGTGCCTCCTGCTCGCCGTCGGTTCATCATAGCGCAACATTTTAGGACCCG